GAATTATGAGTGTGTGTTGGTTGATTCAGGTTCACTTCTATTTGTAGCGAGTATTGACTTGGAATTTTATTATGCTTAAGTGCTAAAGGATTCGTCCAAATGATTGTGTAAAAATCCTTGATAACATGTAGCAGACGTGTGTACGATCAACTTTGGTGGTTGTTGGGAATCGTTTTATTGATTAGTTAAGTTTACATACATCAATATTTATCACTCGAGTGTTGAGATGACTTCATTGAGGCATTGTAAGGGAGGATGTGTAGGTATTCAATTGGTTGGTTTGAGGTTGGAGATACGAAACCCTTAGGGGTAATGAGATTCGGTAAGAAGGGCATGCGATACAAGTATCCCCAGTAATTCGACGATTCAAATAATACTCTACCCTTACTTTAGCCAGTCGGTCCTAGTTGATCACCCAGAGACGAGTGATGGGTAAATTTGTATCTATTATAAGGACCTGATTTCCGTCGTTATGAAAAAGTCAATGGGAAAAGAATTTGGGGGAAAACTTTTTCGTAGTAATTGGACTTTCCTAATCTAGTCCAGATTTGGACGAAATTGGAGTCTTTAAGGTGTAGGAAAATTTGATAACAACCGGGTGAGTTAATTATGATTTTTATTACATGAGTAGTTAGATAACTCGTTAAAGAACCCGTACAATTTTACGGAATTGAATTCAGGCGAGTAGAACTCCCAGAATCGATCTTAGCGTAAAGGGTATTTTCTGATCATCGTTGGTTAGATGTGTGTTGTGAAATGGGGGGTCTTGGAATTCTTTAAATAACTCACTGGTTCCGTGCAAGCCACTTTAGCGGGATTGGTGTCGCTCTGGCGGGGTCGCTGCAGCGGGGTGAGGGTCGCTGCAGCAGGGTAAGGGCCGTTATAGCGGGTTCCACGTGACTTAAAGTCGTAAATAAACCCTTAAATGACCTTATTTGGAACTTTTTTATTTTTAGAGCTAAGGAACGAACCCCAGGCGACTCCTACTCATTTTTCACCATTATTGAGGCTAAAGGTAAGTTTTTCACTCCCCGAATCCTTTTTCGATTCGTAGAACGTAATAGAATGGGTGAATGTTGATGGGGAGGGTTTTGTTATAGATTTTATGGGTGAAACAACCATAATTGGATAATTGGGATCATGTGTTTGATCTAGGGTTCATAGAATTGTTAGTAATTCGGGTAATTAGTGATTGTTTATTGATTCCCGTACTATATTGATTGTTTGTAGAACAAGAACAAGGGGAACGAATCCGAAAAGGGAATGATCAAGTTTCTTAGGGTTTCAAGCTTGTTTCGAGGTAGGTGATAGTTGTTATTTCATGTTTGTGTGATATATGTTTGTAATTGCTTCATTGTATTGCATGTATGTATGTGAATGTTGCATTATTGATCACACCCTATGTAAATAAGTATGAACGAATAATTGTATACCATGAATCGGCTCTTGTTGTATGATTGCAAGAATATACATTGTGATTGTGATTGTGGTTTATTGAATGGGTGGGTGTCACGATCTGACACACTAACTGGGATCGGTTTCCACGTTCTTGCATAAATATGGAATCGATTGCCATATTTTGGCATAAATATGTGATCGGTTGCCACGTTCCGACATAAACATTGGATCGGGTATCACATTCTGGTATGCTAACAGTTTAGGTGTGGGTTCAATGAGAGGACCATTGAATTTGGTTTCGTGAGAGGACCATTGAATTGTGTTGTGTATCTACTTGTGTATGATTACGTTTATATCCAATGATGATTGATATTGGAAGACTGTATGTTGCTCTAAATTGATAACCTATGTGTATTATTGGGAACGTGTAGATGCTACATTGATCCTGAAAAGATGACTAATATTGTATATGTTCGGTATATATTTGTTATATAATGTTGTGGTTACTTGCATGTGTTTCACTTTTGGGATAGCCGTGTGATCCTACCAGTATACCGTGGTTGTGTATTGATATTGCACTTGCCTGTTCTTTGTTGAGTACAGGGCATCTTCAGGCGGCTATTGTTAAACCTCAACTAGGTGACTATTGGGCGTGACCGGATTCAATGGTGAGCCTATTCTTTAAGGCTGCCATGGATCTTTCTTGTTTAAGTCCACTCTCTTCAGACTCAGACTATTTGTTAAAGGTGTTTGTTTAGTTTCGGGGTTGTACCCCTTGTTCTTAGACTTGTCGTTAGTAGAGTTTTGGTACAATGACTTTCAGGTTCTAGGGGTTGTTCTTCCGCATTAGTTTGGTTAGTTGTTTGTTAAACCCTTGGAGTTTATAGGGACTCCATTTTTATAGTCATTTAAACTTGCTTCCGTAGTCTTAAATGCCTTAGTTTTCATAAAATTTGTTTGTTTGGGCTGTAGTAATGGTTCTCCCACCGGAGAATATCTGTGGGTGCCAATCACGATGGTCTGTATCGTGACATAGTTTCCTCTATAACAGATCTAGTGATTAGTTGTTGCCGATGAAGAAAAGAAGAACATTTGATTCTTCTAATGGGAAATATAATTTGTTTTCCGTCTTAATTTATCTGATTATTGTTATTAGTCCAATATTTTTACTTTTATTTGTTACTTTTAACCTGTTGGGTAATAATTATCTTGAGTTTCTTATCATAAATAGATTTTCCTTTTAGGAAAGTTTTGGGATTGACTAGTTCTTTTCTTGTAGGAAAAGGTTTAGGACTTTATATATATATATATATATATATGCTTGTTCCTTTTAACTTAATCAGCATTCACAATGTAGTTCTAGGGGCTTTGAGTGTTTTGGTTAGTGGGAGAATTTGTGGAACACAAGTTTGATACGTTATCACTTGTGTGAACCTCCATGTATTCTGAGTGAATTGGTTGAGATTTCTCTCTATATTTTGTACTCTCATATTTATATAGTGGATTGCTCATCTCCTTTATAGATGTAGGTCGATTGACCGAACCACGTTAAATCTTTGTGTCTTTCTTTTTAGATTTTTGTTTTCATCTTTTTGTCACAACAAGTGGTATCAGAGCCAAGTTCGCTAACAAGGATTTTAATGGAGGGGAATATGAGCAAGATGGTATGTCTAAACGGGAGAAACTACAACATATGGAAAAACAAGATGAAGGATCTATTGTTTGTGGAGAAGATGCATCTTCCCGTATTTGCTGCTCATAAACCTAAGACTTTGAATGATGAAAACTGAAATTTTCGAGCACCAACAAGTATGTGGATATATAAGGCAATAGGTTGAAGATAATGTTTGCAACCATATTGTGAATGAGACATATGCTAGAACATTGTGGAAAAGTTGGAGACGTTTTATGCTGCAAAAACTGGCAATATTAAGTTGTTCTTGCTAAAGCAATTGATGACCTTTAAATACAAAGAGGAAAGTCTTATTCTTTATCACATAAATGATTTTTTAGGTGTTCTTAATCAGCTATCAGGTATGGGTGTTAATTTTGATGATGAAATACAAGGACTTTGGCTTCTTAATATTCTACCGAATTCTTGGAAAACTCTACATGTTTTTATAACAAATTCCGCTCCTGATGGTAGGGTGACTGTGGAATATGCAAAAAGTGGTGTGTAGAATGAAGAAGTTAGAATAAAATATCAAGGCACATCATCACATTTAGATATTCTATATACAGAAGATCGAGGGAGAGATAAGACGAGATCCGAGGAGTAGAGGTAAAAGTAGAAGCAAGTCAAGATTCATGAATCAAAATATTATATGACATCATTGTGGAAAGAAAGGACATATTAGAAGATTTTACAAGCAGTTAAAGCAAGATCTTAAAGAAGGGAAGAAAGAAGAAAATAACATAAACAATGTTGTTGTCCGAGATGACCTTCTCTTCGCTTGTGATAAAGATGTCATTAATTTTGTATTTCAAGATACAATTTGGATAGTAGATTCTAGAGCTACATCACATGTCACACCAAGAAAAGACTTATTTTCATCTTATACTTCTGTTAACTCTAAGGTGTTAAAGATGGGTAATGTTGGTGAGGTTAATGTGTTTGGTGTTGGCACAGTGTGTTTGAAAACCAATATTGGTTCAACGTCAGTCCTTCAAAATGTCAAGCATGCTCCAGACATTCCCGTGAATTTGATATTTGTAGGACAACTAGATGATGATGGCCATCATAATGACTTGTTCAATGACCAATAGAAGCTCACCAAAGGCTCATTGATTGTCGCTCGAGAAAGAAAGCATTAAAATTTATATGCGACACAAGGATCGACTCTTGGTGACTCTATAAATTTGGTGGAAAGCGACACTTTATCATAATTGTGGCACAAGAGGTTTAGTCATATGAGCAATAGGGGGATCACCTGTTTGGCTAAGAAGAATTTGCTTGCTGGTGTGAAACAAGCAAAGGTAAAAAGATGTGTTCATTAATTAGCTGAGAAACATAAAAGAGTTTATTTTGACAGTCATCCTCCTTCAAGAAAGTTTGAGCTATTGGAGCTTGTACTCTCTGATTTGTGTTGTCCTTTTAAAGTGAAGACAAAAAGGTGAAGTAGGCATATATATTGGTCGGTTCGATTCAGTTTTGAAGTTTATCAGCTAAATTTATAGGCTTATCGGTTTGTATCTTAGAGCATTATAGAACTATTAAGATATAAGTTATTGGTTTATCGGTTTGTTTATTGATTTAAGAAACAAGGTGACAAAATGTATGACAAACCAAATGAACTACGCACATAAGTTTACAAATTGCATATTACTCCAAAACAAATACTCACACCTTGTAGCATAACCGAGAAACTGTCAAAAATAAAAGTATGAAACAAAGACTCTATATATATTGAATGCCAAAAATATAATATATAAATTTACTATTGATTATCGGTTCACTTGTTAAAAACAAACTTCAAATTATTAAGATTAATAACCGGATAAACAAAAAAAAATAAAACTGTTATCAAAATCGGTAAATTAATAAGCTTTTTTCCGATTCTAATTATTGATTTGAAGGAGTGAAAAAATGAATACACACCAAATAGAAAAAGGGTTGATCATTTATAACTTTGATGATTGAACCTTGCACATATCCCTCACAGTAACATAACGAGTCAATAGCAAGAGACCACAACACTAACAAAAACCCAACACAGAAACATAGTTTCCAAACCAAAACTATGACATATTTTAGACTATTAAACCCAATTTCAGAATTTTATTATATCTAACCTAATTCCTCCAGCTTCCTTCTGATGCACCACCACCTCTTGAGTAGCGGGATCCACCATCACCATAACGATCACCACCACCACCATATCCGCGGTCACGGCCACCTCCATAACCACCACCATTGCCACCCTCACGTCGACCGTAGCCGCCACCACCGCCATTGTATCCGCCACCACCTCCGAAACCACCACCACCACCACCCCGTCGGCCACCTCCGAAACCACCGCCGCCGCCGCCGCTTCCGCGTGATTGAGCTTCATTAACAGTGATGTTACGACCATCAAGGTTCTGGCCATTCATTGCTTCAATTGCGTTCCTCATGGATTTCTCATCAGTAAAGGTAACAAAACCAAATCCTCTTGATCTACCTGTTTCGCGATCGTTGATAATCTGGAAAAAAAAACAAATCGGTAAATAAAAGGATCCACAATTACAGATTTTTTTAAAAATGCATCATAGATCATGAATAAACACAAAAATAATATCTAGTAATTGATTTTCATGAATCAAAACAAAAATTATTTTGAAAAGAAAAGCTAAAAGCGATCAATCTTCAACGTAACGTACCGTATAAAGGAATGGAATAAGGGTAAGAGTAACAAATAGTAACAGTAACATAGAGAGAGTAACAAAGTAGCATAGTAACAGAGAGAGTAAAGAGATGAGGTGATCAACGAAGCCAAAATAAAATGGTATCGGATCTGATCTCTGCTGTGCAACAAACGGACCTTGGAGTCGACCACATTGCCGTACTGAGAAAAAGCTTCTCCTAGGGTTCTATCGTTGGTAGCCCATGCGAGCCCACCCACGAAGCATCTGTATTCAACCTCAACAGACATTCTTTTTCTATTTTAATTCAATAGACAAGAGAGATGTGCATTTTCTGGGTACAAAATGCTGCCTTTTATAGGCCAAGGAGACTACTTTTTTGCTTTCACCTTTAATTTTATGTGCACGGAGCACTAGAAGCGCTAGTTTGTTACCGATTGCGACGCTAATGGATAACTACTCGTGGCTACCACTGGTTAAAACTTAAAACGGTTGATTAACAGTCATTTTCATCACATACTGTTAATAGAAATTACCCCGTTTGGTCATCTGAGATGAACTAATGATATAAAATCATGGTTTTGATATGTAATTTGGGTGATTTTATTGATACAAAATAAAGTTTAATAACTTTTTTAGATAATTTTTCATAGTTCAGTGACATTTCAAGATTTTAACAAAATTATCAAAATTATATAATTTTATACCAAATAAATAAAAATTCATAACAAAACTACAAAGTATAAATACACTATTACAAAGCTACCAATACTTATTGATCCAATTTTAGTTTAATAAAAAGTAGAGTTGAACATGAGTTGTAGTATATTTATATTACAACTCTCATAAGTTGTGAAAACTATCAAAAATATATCAATCATATCATATCATATATATATATATATATATATATATGATATGATATGATTGATATATTTTTGATAGTTTTCACAACTTATGAGAGTTGTAATATAAATATACTACAACTCATGTTCAACTCTACTTTTTATTAAACTAAAATTGGATCAATAAGTATTGGTAGCTTTGTAATAGTGTATTTATACTTTGTAGTTTTGTTATGAATTTTTATTTATTTGGTATAAAATTATATAATTTTGATAATTTTGTTAAAATCTTGAAATGTCACTGAACTATGAAAAATTATCTAAAAAAGTTATTAAACTTTATTTTGTATCAATAAAATCACCCAAATTACATATCAAAACCATGATTTTATATCATTAGTTCATCTCAGATGACCAAACGGGGTAATTTCTATTAACAGTATGTGATGAAAATGACTGTTAATCAACCGTTTTAAGTTTTAACCAGTGGTAGCCACGAGTAGTTATCCATTAGCGTCGCAATCGGTAACAAACTAGCGCTTCTAGTGCTCCGTGCACATAAAATTAAAGGTGAAAGCAAAAAAGTAGTCTCCTTGGCCTATAAAAGGCAGCATTTTGTACCCAGAAAATGCACATCTCTCTTGTCTATTGAATTAAAATAGAAAAAGAATGTCTGTTGAGGTTGAATACAGATGCTTCGTGGGTGGGCTCGCATGGGCTACCAACGATAGAACCCTAGGAGAAGCTTTTTCTCAGTACGGCAATGTGGTCGACTCCAAGGTCCGTTTGTTGCACAGCAGAGATCAGATCCGATACCATTTTATTTTGGCTTCGTTGATCACCTCATCTCTTTACTCTCTCTGTTACTATGCTACTTTGTTACTCTCTCTATGTTACTGTTACTATTTGTTACTCTTACCCTTATTCCATTCCTTTATACGGTACGTTACGTTGAAGATTGATCGCTTTTAGCTTTTCTTTTCAAAATAATTTTTGTTTTGATTCATGAAAATCAATTACTAGATATTATTTTTGTGTTTATTCATGATCTATGATGCATTTTTAAAAAAATCTGTAATTGTGGATCCTTTTATTTACCGATTTGTTTTTTTTTCCAGATTATCAACGATCGCGAAACAGGTAGATCAAGAGGATTTGGTTTTGTTACCTTTACTGATGAGAAATCCATGAGGAACGCAATTGAAGCAATGAATGGCCAGAACCTTGATGGTCGTAACATCACTGTTAATGAAGCTCAATCACGCGGAAGCGGCGGCGGCGGCGGTGGTTTCGGAGGTGGCCGACGGGGTGGTGGTGGTGGTGGTTTCGGAGGTGGTGGCGGATACAATGGCGGTGGTGGCGGCTACGGTCGACGTGAGGGTGGCAATGGTGGTGGTTATGGAGGTGGCCGTGACCGCGGATATGGTGGTGGTGGTGATCGTTATGGTGATGGTGGATCCCGCTACTCAAGAGGTGGTGGTGCATCAGAAGGAAGCTGGAGGAATTAGGTTAGATATAATAAAATTCTGAAATTGGGTTTAATAGTCTAAAATATGTCATAGTTTTGGTTTGGAAACTATGTTTCTGTGTTGGGTTTTTGTTAGTGTTGTGGTCTCTTGCTATTGACTCGTTATGTTACTGTGAGGGATATGTGCAAGGTTCAATCATCAAAGTTATAAATGATCAACCCTTTTTCTATTTGGTGTGTATTCATTTTTTCACTCCTTCAAATCAATAATTAGAATCGGAAAAAAGCTTATTAATTTACCGATTTTGATAACAGTTTTATTTTTTTTTGTTTATCCGGTTATTAATCTTAATAATTTGAAGTTTGTTTTTAACAAGTGAACCGATAATCAATAGTAAATTTATATATTATATTTTTGGCATTCAATATATATAGAGTCTTTGTTTCATACTTTTATTTTTGACAGTTTCTCGGTTATGCTACAAGGTGTGAGTATTTGTTTTGGAGTAATATGCAATTTGTAAACTTATGTGCGTAGTTCATTTGGTTTGTCATACATTTTGTCACCTTGTTTCTTAAATCAATAAACAAACCGATAAACCAATAACTTATATCTTAATAGTTCTATAATGCTCTAAGATACAAACCAATAAGCCTATAAATTTAGCTGATAAACTTCAAAACTGAATCGAACCGACCAATATATATGCCTACTTCACCTTTTTGTCTTCACTTTAAAAGGACAACACAAATCAGAGAGTACAAGCTCCAATAGCTCAAACTTTCTTGAAGGAGGATGACTGTCAAAATAAACTCTAATTGCATCTATCATGATTTCTAAATTACCATCCTACCCATTCTTCATATCAAAATTATTATCCTCCCAATTCTTCATTTTTCTTTAATGGATTTTGGATATTTTTCAACCCCATGTTTTAGATCCCGAACAGCAGCTGGGTTTGGGTGGTGTTTCGTTCTATTTATCTTTTGTTGGTGTAGCTATTGTTTGTTCTATTTTGGCACTTGTTGTGTAGCCAAGAATATTTGTAACCCTCTTATTGTTATCGTGAAGCAATTCCGATCTTGTCCATCCCGTGGGTGTTACCTTCGGTTTGAAGGATTTTTTCACAATAAACTTGGTGTTCTTTATTTTTAGATTTTCGTTTTCATCTTTTCGTCACAACATAACCTATTAAGAAAAATTAATATTTTTTTTACATGTTTTACCTTTATTATGTGGATCATTGTTTTTTTAATAGTAAAAGTGTTAAGTTCAAATGTGACAAGTAAAGTTACAAAAGGAGAGTACTAAAATATAAAAATGGGTTATTCTTTTTGGAATCGACTAAAAAGGAGAAGTAGGCATATATATTGGTCGGTTCGATTCAGTTTTGAAGTTTATCAGCTAAATTTATAGGCTTATTGGTTTGTATCTTAGAGCATTATAGAACTATTAAGATATAAGTTATTGGTTTATCGGTTTGTTTATTGATTTAAGAAACAATGTGAGAAAATGTATGACAAACCAAATGAACTATTCACATAAGTTTACAAATTGCATATTACTCCAAAACAAATACTCACACCTTGTAGCATAACCGAGAAACTGTCAAAAATAAAAGTATGAAACAAAGACTCTATATATATTGAATGCCAAAAATATAATATATAAATTTACTATTGATTATCGGTTCACTTGTTAAAAACAAACTTCAAATTATTAAGATTAATAACCGGATAAACAAAAAAAATTAAAACTGTAATCAAAATCGGTAAATTAATAAGCTTTTTTTCAATTCTAATTATTGATTTGGAGGAGTGAAAAAATGAATACACACCAAATAGAAAAAGGGTTGATCATTTATAACTTTGATGGTTGAACCTTGCACATATCCCTCACAGTAACATAACGAGTCAATAGCAAGAAACCACAACACTAACAAAAACCCAACACAGAAACATAGTTTCCAAACCAAAACTATGACATATTTTAGACTATTAAACCCAATTTCAGAATTTTATTATATCTAACCTAATTCCTCCAGCTTCCTTCTGATGCACCACCACCTCTTGAGTAGCGGGATCCACCATCACCATAACGATCACCACCACCACCATATCCGCGGTCACGGCCACCTCCATAACCACCACCATTGCCACCCTCACGTCGACCGTAGCCGCCACCACCGCCATTGTATCCGCCACCACCTCCGAAACCACCACCACCACCACCCCGTCGGCCACCTCCGAAACCACCGCCGCCGCCGCCGCTTCCGCGTGATTGAGCTTCATTAACAGTGATGTTACGACCATCAAGGTTCTGGCCATTCATTGCTTCAATTGCGTTCCTCATGGATTTCTCATCAGTAAAGGTAACAAAACCAAATCCTCTTGATCTACCTGTTTCGCGATCGTTGATAATCTGGAAAAAAAAACAAATCGGTAAATAAAAGGATCCACAATTACAGATTTTTTTAAAAATGCATCATAGATCATGAATAAACACAAAAATAATATCTAGTAATTGATTTTCATGAATCAAAACAAAAATTATTTTGAAAAGAAAAGCTAAAAGCGATCAATCTTCAACGTAACGTACCGTATAAAGGAATGGAATAAGGGTAAGAGTAACAAATAGTAACAGTAACATAGAGAGAGTAACAAAGTAGCATAGTAACAGAGAGAGTAAAGAGATGAGGTGATCAACGAAGCCAAAATAAAATGGTATCGGATCTGATCTCTGCTGTGCAACAAACGGACCTTGGAGTCGACCACATTGCCGTACTGAGAAAAAGCTTCTCCTAGGGTTCTATCGTTGGTAGCCCATGCGAGCCCACCCACGAAGCATCTGTATTCAACCTCAACAGACATTCTTTTTCTATTTTAATTCAATAGACAAGAGAGATGTGCATTTTCTGGGTACAAAATGCTGCCTTTTATAGGCCAAGGAGACTACTTTTTTGCTTTCACCTTTAATTTTATGTGCACGGAGCACTAGAAGCGCTAGTTTGTTACCGATTGCGACGCTAATGGATAACTACTCGTGGCTACCACTGGTTAAAACTTAAAACGGTTGATTAACAGTCATTTTCATCACATACTGTTAATAGAAATTACCCCGTTTGGTCATCTGAGATGAACTAATGATATAAAATCATGGTTTTGATATGTAATTTGGGTGATTTTATTGATACAAAATAAAGTTTAATAACTTTTTTAGATAATTTTTCATAGTTCAGTGACATTTCAAGATTTTAACAAAATTATCAAAATTATATAATTTTATACCAAATAAATAAAAATTCATAACAAAACTACAAAGTATAAATACACTATTACAAAGCTACCAATACTTATTGATCCAATTTTAGTTTAATAAAAAGTAGAGTTGAACATGAGTTGTAGTATATTTATATTACAACTCTCATAAGTTGTGAAAACTATCAAAAATATATCAATCATATCATATCATATATATATATATATATATATATATAAAGGAGTATCTGCATCCCACTGATGTGGCATGCCTCAATGATCAGAAAGGATATTTATCTATTTTCTTAGAATTTAGCCATTTTTTCTCTATTTTTTATACAATTATATTATTAATTATTAATTAATGATCAAATATAACTTTCTTAAAATAAAGAACCCCAAAAGGCTATCGGTTTTGCTGATTTTTAATTGCATCTTTTATCTCATGTTTTAACTCTCATTTGATTCTCCATAATCAACATTTACTTCTCCATAATTAGTGTGCTTAATTATGGAAAAAATAGTTACGAAATTTTATTAAAAAAATATATTCACTTAATTGCAATCCTTTAATGAAAAAGATAATGCAACACTTCAAAATTCTACTACATAATAATGCAATATTTCATGATTCTGACACAATTCCTTTATTTTTCTTTCTGAACTACTTTCTCATTATTCCTATTTATTCATTTTATATCTCTTCCTTTATTCTCTCTATTTTGCATTGCAATATTTTATTTTTATCTTCATATTTTATTTACCTTAAGCGATGAATTTTAATTGTTTACAGGTTAATTGTTTAAAATTATCTTTTTATTGATTTTTCAGAGGAGTCGAAACATGAGCAAGTACAAGTAGTTGTTTAACCATGCTTTTGGTTGGTGTTCAATTTTTACCAAACAAATTTACTATTTAATTTTTCATCACAAGTATTTCTAAAAATTGTACAGTGACTTTTCATTGTTGATTATTGATAAGGATGATAAATTGTAATTACGTAATAATTTGTTCTTCGTGAAAAAAATAAATAGTGAATTCTTTTAAATTTCTTATTGCAGATTACATAGATATGTGATGTTATCAAGAACACAAAGTAATATATTGTTTTTTCATTATTGATTGTAATTACTCATATAATCGGTTCATCGTAAATTATTTTTTTCTTCCAACTATCTATTTACTTTTTCACTGCAGATTATATGAAAATATAATGTTTCCAGCGACAACATATATATATATATATATATATATATATATAAAGAGAGAGAAGATTTATCAATTAAGCAAAATTAGTTTCATTCATATGAGATTATCCTTTTGCAGATCAGTAAGTGCTTTCATGTTAATCTTCTTTTTTTAATTATTATTTTTATACGACACAAATAGTGAGAAAATATATGAGAGATGTATGAATATCGTGGTGGACCAGTGAAAGTTCTATTTTGTAATTGCTTACAAAAACATTTGCCAAGTTTCTTATTTTCTTGTATTTATTTGTGTATTAAAACAATAAAAAGTGTCAAAAAATCTATTTAGCCATAACTTATTTTACGTTATTAAAAATTAATCTATGCAACTATTTTTTGATAATTACGGAAAATGAACCATTAGGATCAAATAGATTGTTGTAGTAGAAATTGTTAAACAAGCAACCATATAAAATTAAATAAATCTGAAATTTACTTGATACAATTAAGAGAAAGTGTTTTGTTCTTTTTGTTTATACTATAATAACTTGAAAAATTATACTTTATTATTTTTGCAGGGTGTTACATTCATCTATTTTTGCAGGGTGTGACATTCATCCTTCTATATTTGTAGGGTATAATACTCATAACCTTTTAAAATAGGAAAAAGTACAACAATATGCGTATATTCAAAAACAATTATAGGAATAAAGTCAAATAATAAGTGCACAAGAGATAATAATATAATTAAATATTTAAAAGATAAAATAAAAGCTCCAAAGATTATGTAAAAATAGAAATAAAAGGAAATAACGTTTTGTAAATTTGTAGAAACAAAATACAATTTTAATTTTATTAAAAATATTTGAATAAATTTTTTATAAAATATTTTAAAACCGCGCATAGCGCGGCCAAATTTACTAGTTATTTATATAATCTTAAATCAAATAAATAAAAAATTATAACAAAAGTATAATACACTATTACAAAGCTATTAATACATCCAATTTTAGTTCAATAAAAAACAGAATAGAACATGAATGGTAGTATATTTATTATATTTATTGTGGCGTTTGATTCGTAATATAACATTTGATATTTCAAAAGTTAGTTTGAAATAAAATTTAAAAATTGTTTAGCTGGAAATGTGAATTTATCAAATAATTTTTTACTTTTAATCAAACCAAGCATAAATTTACTCACACGCATAACTTGATATTTTACCTTATCCCATTTAATTGAATATTATTTTATTTCACTCTAAATAAAATATTACTCCAAAATTATAGTCCAAATAATTTAGTTCGCCAATTAAACTAACCCAGTGACTTAAAAACACTTTTTTATAGTATGCAAAGACACAAATAAATTAAAAAAATATTATAAAAACTGATTTGACCAACTAATCCAAAGATTCTCTTGGTCGCTTGAGCAAGTAAAGGCCCATAATGAACTTCCATTAACAAAAAATTACATTATTTATATAATTAAGAAAGTATTGAAAGTATTTTTAAATTTGATACAAATTATTAGTTTTATCATCGATTATTGATAACTTTTTTAAAAAAAAATTATATGACTGATTAGACTTAGATATACCACCGATATGCTACATGACATAGAACGTGATTTCAAGCTTTTGTAGGATCATGAGACTCTTAATGAAAAATCGAGAGAAATGTTGAAAACGCTATTAAACTTGACGATAATTTAGGGATGTATTTCACTCATGTTGCAAGATCAGAGATGTATTTAAGTTCGGATAGTCAAGTTAAGGGGTATATTTAAGGCTATCAATAGTTCGAAATGAAACTAATAATTTACGCTGAACTTAAAAATATTTTTAATACTCTTCTCTTTATAATTTACAAACATAAATATATATATATATAATTGATTAATGGAGGAACTATCGCATCCACTACATCGTTAGGGGTCGTTTGGTAGCTAGTTAGAGTTATACATGTATTAATAATGCAGGGATTGTTGGAAAATTATATGCGCAGTGGAAGCATACCAGAATCATACTGCTTACATGAATAATAGATAATCAATGTGTTTATGTTAGAACACATAAACTTGCTGAAATTTAATTCAAGAATTACCTCTTGAAGCGTGAGCAGATACATTCAAGTGAATCCACGAGTTAGACCTTCAAGCGACTCCACAAGTTAAACAACAATTCACGGTCTTCTACGGTGATCCCACGTTCACATCCGAACTCTCTCAATACTTGGGTGGGCAAGTATCAAATGGAAAACTCATTCACTTTCTAGGTTAGAAGAATCCCTACTTATAGAGATTTCTTCACAGTCCAAAAACAAGAACAAAAAGACACGTTATTTTCAAGAACTAAAAAGTCACAATCTTTTGTTCTTTTTCCCTAGAAAATATGATTATGAGTTCTAGTTAAATATGGGCACGGTAGGAACCACAAAATTAATTAATAAGGCTTTCTATTATGGGTATAATTTCATATAATTAATTTGAATTATTCTTACCATAATAAATTACAAATCATTCCACGTAATCACACTCCTCTATTTATATTTCAAAATTCTCCATTGAACACTTATGTAATTCCACATGTTAAGATTACAAATACTAATCAAAATTATTGACGAATTTAATTCAAAAATTAATTTCCTTTAGAGCACTGCTTAACTTATTTCATGTGTCGAATTAAAAAATCCACTTGTAAGGTTTGACACGATGAAAACTTACAAGTTTCTCAAAAAGACTATCATCAATCTCTATATCGAGACATGGATTCCATCAATTAACTTATTATTTCAGCAATATATATTATTATCATCTAATTTACCAGACATATTGACTCATCTCAGAATCTCACCTTTTAATAAATTAAAACGATAATTAATACATACAAATCATAATAGTTATATCAGAATTAAGAATATAAGTACATTTAACAGTTTAAAGAATATGCTTTGTCAGTCAGTCTAAAACAACTATCTCTACTCGTCCCGTTCAATACATACAAAATGACATAACATAAGAAGTTGGAACTATACCATTCTCATAATCAAGATAAATTATATATAATCTTGTGCTACAATCATATCGATGACATATCCAATTTCCATCTTAGATTGTGAACAAAAAACTTTATACTTACCGATGATTTAATCCTTTGTATATAAGATAAAACTCTATACACTAAATTATCTACTATATAAATAAACAGACACCACAAACGAATATATTATCTATTAAAACTGAATAAATAATTATTCTATAATAAATATTATATCTAAACATATAGTTGATAGTATATATCCCAACAACAGTATCTAATAGGTAATAGTCCTAATTGGAGTAATTTCCCTCAAAATATACTTGACACAAAAAAATATTTTTCTCTCTCCTATGTCACATTATTCCTTTTTTACTAGTAATTAAAAAATTTAACTTTTTAAATCAACCCATATGATATACTCGGTAAAAATTAATA